GCCCACCCCGCACGGGGCGGGCCGCCCCCGGGCATCTACAGCAGGTTTTCTCCGCGGCGAGCCGGCGGCCAGCACGGCGACCCCAGCCAGGCCGTGCGCGTGTCGGGATCCACCACCAGGGGGTCGACCCCGAGGTGGGGCATGAGTTCGATCCGCTGGTGCACCGAACTGCCGCAAACAGTTGACCCCCGCACCCCCACCCATCGGCAACTATCGGGAGTTGCCGGCGGCTGTGTGGCATCTGTTTTGGGCGGTTCGGTGCGAAAGCCGATCGAACTCCCCCCCCCAGGGCGCACACCCCCTGTGCGGGATCCCGGGCGTGGCCTCCGAGGCCGAGCTGCGGCAAGCCGTGCACGTGCGCCCATCGGGAGCCAGCGCATGCTGCGTGACGAGGGTCGCGGCAACCCTCGGGGTTGGCGGGGCCTGGCGAGACTGGCGGCGGGCAGCCATCCGCGGAGAGGCTGCCATGACGTCCAGCGTGGACCGCAGAAGCCGCCAGCGCACCACCATGGCCATCTTCTCGGCGCGGCTGACCCGAGCGCGCAAGCCTGTGGGATCCGCGCGCGCTCTGCTGCGAGCCCGGCGGCGGCGTCGGCGGCCGCGTTGCCCCGCACCAGCACAAGGGATACGCCGCGCTCAAGGGCCTCATCGGCCTGCAGGTGCGAGTTGACGTAGATGACAATGACAAGGGAGGTGCATCGATCTCTGCAGGAAATGTCCTGGCCCAACGTCCACCACCAATCTGCGTCGGAACCTTGCGGTTGCATGTCCCAGCGCTGCCACCAGCTGTCGAGGACGGCCAGGCTGTCCGTGACGTACACGACGGGTCCGCGCGTGCGCATCTTTCCTTCTCCGTTCCTCCTCCTCCTCCTCTCCTCCTGCTGCTCCTCCCTTCTTCTCCTCCATCTTTCCTCCTCCTCCATCTTCCCTCCTCCTCCTCCTCCTCCTCCATCTTTCCTCCTCCCCCATCTTCCCTCCTCCTCCTGCTGCTCCTCCTCCTCCTCCTCCTTTCCTCCGCCTCCTCCTTCTCCAACTTTCCTCCTCCTCCTCCTCCTCCTCCTCCTGCTCCTCCATCTTTCCTCCTTCTCCTTTCCTCCTCCTCCTCCTCCTTTCTCCTCCACCTCCGCCGCCTGCGTTCTCCCTCCCCTCCCGGACGCTGCCCCTGCCCCTCCCCCGCTCGCTCCTGGCCGTCGCCCAGGCCCGGGAGCACGGTGACCGGCCCAGGGGCTGCCAGGCCCTCCAGCCGCACCTGGCCCAGGATGGCGCGGGGGGGTCGGAAAGGGGGGATATTAAGAACATAAGAATAATAATGATAATCATAAGTTACTGCTAATCACCAGAAGGAGAAGAAGAGGACTCACACCATAAAGACGAAGAGGAAATGCAAGAGCAGCACACAACACTCTTGGTATGATACTGATCGTAAGTATGATAATAATGCTTTGAATCATGAGATAAGGAGGAGGAACGACAGCACGACTGACGATAATAATAAGAACACATGTTTCCATAAGACAACACCTAACAATACCAGCCGTAACAATAATAAGAGGAACACTAGCATGACTAATAAGCATAGGGACGATCAATGACATGAGTAATCATGAACCTAAGTAGAACACAACACATAACAATATCAACCAGCAGTGTCAGAAGAGAAACAATGCTAATGCGACGACAAGCGATTTCCTCCCTCTCCTCATCCTCTCCCGCGGGGGTGTGGGGGCTTAGTGGGACTAGGAAACAGTCATACTGGTGCTCTTATTTCTCAAGTAGTTTGGAATGTATTGATCATGAAAGATGTAAACTTATCTCAGTGCGACACTACCTAGGAGTTGGAGCCCCTAGGACAGCAGCATTAGTAGCAACGGTAAATCTAAGCTAAAGCTAAGCTAACGCTAAGCTAAAGCTAAGCTAAAGCTAAGCTAACGCTAAGCTAATACTAAGCTACATCTAAGCTAAAGCTAAACTAAAGCCCAACTAAAGCTACGCTAAAGCTAAGCTAGATCTAAGCTACAGCTAAGCGAACTTTAAGCTAAAGGTAAGCCAAAGCTAAGCTGAAGCTAAGCTGAAGCTAAGCTAAAGCTACGCTAAAACGAAGCTAAAGCTAAGCTGAAGATAAGTTGAATCTAAACTAAAGCTAAGCTAACGCTAAGCTAAAGCTAAGCTAAAGCTAAGCTAAAGCTAACCTACAACAAAGCTAGAGCTAAGCTAAAGCTAAGCTAACGCCAAGCTACATCTAAGCTAAAACTAAGCTAACTCTAAGCTAAATCTCAGTTAAATCTAACTATAAGCTAAAGCTAACCTAAGCTAAGGTAAACTAAGCTAAGTTAAGCTAAGCTACAGCTAAGCGAAGCTAAGATGAAGCTAAGCTGAACTAAGTTAAGCTAGGCTCAGATGAGATAAGCAACGCTAAACTAAGGGGACGTAACGGGGGGCACCGCGGGTCGGATACTGGAGGAACCGCCCGGGGCGGGTTACACTGCCCGGCCCTTTAAGCTTCCGAGTAAGAACCCTTCTAGGCAGAGCCTAGGTAGGGAATACAACTGAGGTAAGATGAAGATAAGCTAAGGTAAGATGACATAAGCTAAGCTAAGATGAGATAAAACAACGCGAAACTAAGAAAACGTCACTGGGGGAACCGCGGGACGGATCCTGGGGGAACCGCCCGGGGCGGGTTACACTGCCCGGCCCCTTTAATCCTCCGAGTAAGAACCCTTCTAGGCAGAGCCTAGGTCGGGAAAAAAAACGACTCACCGAAATAGTGCATAACACAAAAACGTCGAAACGGTCTGAACAATCTGGGGATCCGAAGAACACTCGGAACGGGTTCGAAAACGAGCCAAATCCGGTGAACAACCAATTATCTGGACCAACGCCCCACCACAACAAACGAAAACTATACAAAAAGGCGCCGGAAACATCAACAGCACCTGCGTCGGAAACGATACACACAAATGCCAAACGAAAACAATAACAACAACTGCCCTGTCGTTTCCGGGTGGGGGGGTCGAGGGGAGGAGGGGGGGGAAACGATGAGTGGGTGGGGGGAACACGAGGGGGACGCCCGCGGGGGAGGCGGAGGCGGATGGGAGCATGGGGGAGGTGGACGGGATGGAGAGGCGGAGCTGGATGGAGATGCGGAGGAGGATGAGAGAGACACGCGGTCGGGGGACTCACTACCTTATGAAGACAATCCAGGAGGCCTCGCGCAACAACTTGAGACCCAACGTACGTCGAAACCACGTCGGATTTATGTCGTGTCCACGTCGGGAACATCGCCGCGCGTACGTCGACACACACATCCAACGGGGCAACCGTGTGGACTGGTTGATACAACTATTGCGCGCCGCGCGAGGCCTCCAGGAATTTCCTCATAGGAGACCGGCTATCTACCAAACCATCCCCACGCAACCCGAAGTCCCAAATCTCGGGTTGGGGTTGTTGGGGGCTGTCTGGGCTGCACTGTGTCCTTTCAAAGTTCCCGAGCCCTCCCCCACTGGGAATGGAGGTCGGGAGCGGCCAAGAGGGGGGTGTCCAAGAGGGGGGGGGTACAACTCATGACCGGCGGCATGTGCGCGGCCCAGCGGGGGGGCCAGGGACGTAATGAAACAAGAAGAGGCGCCATGAGATCTGGGGAAATATCATGGCCCCCGCCATGATATCCACCCCCCCCTAGTCATCACCCCCCTCTTTTCTAGGGGGAAAACAAACCTACCTCGCTTTTGACCACCCTCGCTTCCAAGAGATACCAAACGATGCCAAATTGCAGCCTGCACTGGTCAGGCCGCTTGACGAGGAGGCGCGTGGTATGACTTGGTTTTGCCTGGAAGCGAAAGCGGGGGAGGTAATGCGCTCTGATTTTCCGCCCCCGAGGAGGGCAACGTGGAGCCTCCGGGCCGGGTGAGCGTGCCTCGCTCGGCAGCGAGGGACGCCGTGCCGCCGAGCCCCGCGGGCGGAAGACTGCGGCAGCGCCCGGGCGCGCAGGGGTCGGGCCCGAAGGCGGATGCGGCTGTGACGGAGGGGCTCTTCAGAGGTCCCCAAATCCCCCCCTCCTCCTCCTCCTCCTCCTCCTCCCCTCCCTCCCTCCCTCCCTCCCTCCCTCCCTCCCTCCCTCCCTCCTGCCCTCGGCACGGCTGACATGGGGCCGGGACAAGCGGGGACGCTGCCCAGCAGAGAGTGCTGTCCGAAACCGACAGCGGCCGCTGTGGGCAATTGGGCGACGCTTGTCCTCGTATGGACAGCGCCCGCGGCGACACCGACAGCGAGTCCTGCTCACACCGGGCAGGAGCCTCTGTTGGCTCCTGTCCCCACTCTTCCCTCCCACTCCGAACCGATGCTCGTTCACTGGAATGCGCGCTCTAAGACGAAGGCCGAATGAGGGCACATCTGGAAATGAGAACACCTGGAACCTCCGGGAGCTGGCGGGTCTGCAGGACGTATCGAGCGCCGCGGCCCGTCCGCAGCGCTTCTGACCGTTCCGAGAGCGTTCTGGCACGCCCTCTGATCGGGGGCGCGCAAATTTGGATCGGGGGGGGCCCTCCCCAAAATGCGGCGGGTGCCGCCTCGCTCGGCGGCGGAAATCCGCGATTTCCCATGGAAACGGGACCCGTCGCATATCCACGCCCCCTCGATCCATGCCTGTGATCGCCTGATCAGACTGATTCATCCTCATTCTGGGCATGCCTGGAACATGCTCGTCCCGAGCGGCCTTGCGGAAAGCCCCGCGGCCCGTGAACGCCCCCCCCCCCCTGGGACTCTGAACAGCAACCGAGGACGCCACCCTCCGCGGCGTGGTGGAATCGCCGCGAGCCCGCGGCTTCAGCGGGAGCGGTCAGCCCAGTGGGGGAGCCCTGCCGGCACCCAGGGGGCCTTCACCGCCCGTGCCGTGGACGAGGCTTCCCAGCGACAACCCCCAACACGGCCGGGGCGCACCGCCCGTCCGTCCCCCGCCCGTCTGGGCCCAGTCCCCGCCCAGCAGTGCCCCCGCTTCGGGGACGGACGCGGTGCGCCACCTCCACCGCTGCGACACCGAAGCTGTGCCCCCCACGTGGAGTCCACGATGGTGCGCGAGCGCGAAGGCGGCTACATCGAGGGCGGCTGGGGCGCTTCGATCTGGGACACTGTCGCCAGCGCAAACCGTCGTCGTCGTCGTCGCCCTCCTCGGAGCCTTCTGCTGCTGCTGCTGCTGCTGCTGCTGCTGCTGCTGCTGCTGCTGCTGCTCCTCCAAAGTGCCCCGATTCCCCTGAGCGCTTCGTGCCCCTCCTCCTGCCGCTGATGCTCCCCCGCTCCCCCTGCTTATCCTTACGTCCCCCTGCACGTCCTGCGCCCCGATTCCCTCGTTCATCCCTCTCCCGCCCTCCTCCCCCGTCCTCCCGCATTCCCCCCCTCCCGCTCCTTCACCTCCTCCCCCTCCCCACACTCCTCCCCCTCCTCGTCCTCATCCTCCTGCCCTCCTCGCCCTCCTCCCGAGCGTCAGCTCGGCTCGGGCTGGCCCCTGCCAACCTGCGAGCCAACACCAGGGCGCTTCCCAGCGCCGCCCCCCCCCCCTTCTCTCACGGACGTGGTCCGCCCTGGCGCAGCGCTGGTCGCCCGAGGCGCACCGCGGCGGAGCGGCGTGCTCAGGCCGCGCGCGCCCCGGTGCGGGCAGCGCAGACCTTGCTGCGGGTCTTCGCGGCACTTCAGCATCGGGAGTGCCGCCCGACGCTCCTCGGGGCTGCCCTCGCCCACGAGCTCGGCACGGGCCTGCGTGGCGGTGTGCATCAAGCCTTGGCGCGGGCGGCGAGGGCGGCGCTGCCGGCGAGGCGGTTGTCGAGAGTGCCTCCGGTGCTGCAGCGGTTGGACCGTCGCCCGAAGGTGAGCCGCAAGCCAAGATGTCATCGAAGTTCCTCCCGCAGGTGGTGCTGCAATGGCGTCGCGCCCCGCGCCCTGCGCTCCAGGAGGGCCCCTACGTGGCGCTGGTGCCCGGGGAGGGAGCACGAGCGCAAACGCCGCAGCGTCTACGTTGGAGCAGTCCGCGGCTTCGAGTGGGGAGGACAGGACAAAGCCTCCCGCCCTCAGCAAGCTGACAGTCGACCAGGGCCTCGACTACAGCGGCGGCTTTCGCCGGGTGGTGCGGTCAATGGTGCGGTCAGCTGGCAGTGACCGTCCCAGCGGAGCAGAGCGCGGTGACTTGGTCTTGCCAGAAGTCATCGCATCACGTTTCTCTGACGAACGGTGCAACTAGCAATAAAAGTTGGTCGCTATTTT